CAATTGGCAGAGAAAAAAGCGATAAAGATACAGATACAGATACAAAATATTCAGTTGAAAACACATGAAAATTGTTGGCGAGCGTATAGAGTGTAGAGCGCTAAGCGCAAGCGAGCCAAAGAGTGGCAGAAAAAAAATGAGAGACGGAGAGAGAGAGAGAGGGAGAGGGAGAGAGCAACAACAGCTCATTGTTTCTTCTCGTGGCTGGCTTTGTGCCCCGCGCTTTATTGTTGCAACCTTTGCCGCCACCACTCATTGTTTTCGATGACATTTTACCAGTCATTGAATGGATTGCAATTAGCTCTTCCTCATAGCTATAGATCATCTGGCATATGGTCTATAGATGGTACGCCACTTGCCCAGAACAGATCCGAGTGATTCAGCCAGGAAATGCAACTTACTCGTAGTTTTCCTTTATCAAGATCAATTCCATTTTAATCTTTTAAGCCACGCTCTGGTCGTTATTGGTAATTTCCCTCGATTAAGCTCAATTCTTGGAGGCATTCCATGGCGAACGGGTTTTGAGTGTATTTCCAAATATTTATTCATTAGCGTATTCAGTGCGTTTCCAACAAAATATAAATATGTACATACTAAAATATGTGTGTATGCACATGCTTGGGTTTTTTGTGAGGTCATTTTGCTATTAATTCCTTTGAAAAACGGATTTCGATGGGTCCTCTTGAGTGGCGAGACCTTTGTGATGTCAATCCTCTGAGTGGTTTAAATTCTTAGATATCTCAATGCTGGATATATTCTAAACATAAATTCGCCACAAACTGTATTTGGGTACCGTTCCGTAAACTCTGTTGTGTGTATTTTTTTTAGAGCGTTACTTTGGTTGGCTTTATTTTGCCACAGAGGTAGGCAAATGAGTCGATCGGAATGGAATGGTACAGAGACGATACTAAATTTAGTCGCTGCTCTCGTTACTATTGTGCAATGACCTAAATCATGGGCACAAAATCAGAGCCAAGCTCTCATTTTTGGACTTTTTGTGTTGGCCATCATTTGGTGGCTGGTTGTGGTTTTTTCCTGATTTGTTTTTGGTGGCCAAAAAGCTTACTATTAATTTGCACATAAATGGGCAGCGGCACACGGGCCTCGGCCTGAGCTTGTTCCGGGGACTTGGTCTTGGACTTGGGACAGCCTCAATGGCCGATGGTTGATTGTCGATGGTCGATGGTTGGTTTGGGGATAAAGTTTTAGTTTCTTTTTGTTTCTGTGGAGAAAGTACCCGGCCAAAAGCTAGTTCCCTCTTTCTCTAACTAATTAGCAGTCGATTTTTGAGCAGAGTTTGGGGCGTGTCTTCGTGTCTCCATCTGCCTTGTACATACCCATATGTATGCCGTCTTTTGTTGTGGTTTCATAATTCGCCAGCAACAAATGCTTGGCAACAAATGTTGCAGCAAACATTCGAGCATTCATTCCCCGTTGGCAACAGCCGAAAGAGGTTTGGCTCTGGCTTCACAACTTCGCGCTCACCAGAAGCAATGAAACGACAAAGAAACAAAGATACAAACAAACAAACGCTAGTCGAAACCGGTTCAAAGTGGGTCGTAGTACTTTTGAGTGCAATTGTTAGCTTTTATTTTTGTTTGTCAGCGGCTGCAGAAACAGCCGCCAACAGCAGTCCATTCCACACTCTGCAACTCATTATATTGTGTTGGCTATTATGTTGACTCTTGTTCGGTTTTCTTGGCACGCGCTGGCCGAAACAGCTGAAATCCAATCCAAAACTCACTCCCACACACAAACACACGCTGAGCGCTCCATTATTTTGTAATGGACATGTTTCGATTCGGTAAGCATAGGTCAGGCGTAGACCCCGGCCCACGGACCCTTTAAGGCCTTCCGCGGGGTAACGTAACCTTGGTGGTTCTTCTGCCTTGCAAATGTTTGCTCCGTGTGCTGCCAATATTAGCCATTAGCATGGTTAGGCAGCGGCTCAAACCTAGAAACAATTGCCAGTCAGCGATTAGTGATCGCATTTTGCATTTTAGCCTTAACATTAAAGTCGTGTGTATTTGCTGCTATATGTACTGATGTACATATATGTATGTACATGTACAAACAGATCCATATACATTTCAATAGGTATAACGGTTACTGCACTGAAAATAATTCTCATTTGAATTCAGTCCATTCTCTCAACAGCCCTGCCACAAGTTCTTGCTGTTGTTCTGGCGCGTGACTGAAATCAGCTGAAAGGAACGTCACGGAACACAATGCGAGTACATTTGTATAGTACAATTTACATACATATGTACATAAGTATGTAGTAGTAGCATATATAGTAGAGCCATGCTTTATGGACCCGTTGTTGTTTTTACCCCTTCGATTGGAGGAGCTTTCAATCTCCTTTCGAAGATCTCTGAGCCCGAGACGGGTTCAACAGGTTTTCGTCAGGCGCTGTTATTACCATGTCTGTTGTCATTGTTGTTATTCTTCTCGACACTAAGCCACGCAGATGTTTATTTATTTAAATGATATATATTAACTTCTTGTTTCAAAACCTATGTAAATCAAATAACATAATATCCATTCCGTTGGTAAATGAAAAATATGATCAGTCTTATCCTGCTATTGTGTATTTTTAATAGAGAAAATGTTTCACGCTCTCCATCTTACCTTGGAATGATCTTTTATTCCACAGATTTCTTTATGTTAGAACCACGAGCTCAGTGGTTGCCATATATCGAATGTCCCACAACATTTTTTCCTTGTTCCGAAAGAGTGAACTTTTTTCTGCTTAATCTACGTGGTACAATGCTTCGAAGTTACACAATCTTTTGTTAAATTCACCCATAATCTCTGAAACAAAGCAAAAAATTCGCAAAAAACGAGAAGGGACGTGTGAGACGCTTCTTACGCGTCACAACTTGTATACCCGGCACTCAGTACTACATCTGAACCTTAGCGGTTATGTCAAATTTTAAAATTTGTCTTCATCTGTCATCGATACATGTACAACACTTCTCACGCCAACACGCTCCTTAAGCTCGCCCCCCATCCCTAGCGCCACACACCGCAGAGTCAGAGTCAGAAGCAGAGTGTGAATGAGAGAATATGAAAAAAAACAAATATAAGCTGCGGGACGGGGTGGGTTTAGTCACGGCAGAGGCAGAGGCCGCACACTGCGCGAAGCAGAGTGTTACTGAGAGAATGTGAAAAAATCAATTCAAATTAATTTCTTCATTCTGACTATAATAATGGGGAAATCGGATCCCATTTTGGTGATATGATAGAAAGGGTCCTTCCCTACGGAATGTTTAGTTAGTTTAGTTTCTTGTATCTTCAAAATTGTAGGTTTGGGAGGTTTTCGGCCTTTTGCGGGGGCGGAAGAGGCGGGGCTCATTTTTTGAATACACTTGTAACAGTGTGAGCATACAGAAGTATGGATGCAAAATTGGCTCTAGCTTTTATAGTCTCTGAGATCCAGGCGCTCAACAAGACAGTCAGACAGACAGACATGGCTCAATCGACTCGGTTATTGATGCTGATCAAGAATATATATACTTTGTGGGGTCGGAAACGTTTCCTTCTGTGCCTTACATACAACCGTTATTCGCACAAAACCAATACACCCTATTTAATCTTCGAGTACCGGGTATAAAAACACGAAAACTGTTACGCCTTGATGCAATTTATTTATGATGTGTGGATATTTTGTTGTTGTTGTTTTCGTTGTCTTTTTCGCTTCTGCGGTTTGCTGCTGTTGACATTGACATTTGCTGAGGCTAACAATATCGCCGAGCCATCATCAGCAGCAACAACAAGTCGCGATGAGTGACGATGGGAATCCATTTGTGTGCAGGATGTCCACCTGAATGCCTACTGGGATTGCAGAGTGGGGAGTTCTTCTCCCCGTAGCCGTTGTGTCTCGAGTGCCGGACGGTTCCTTTGTCGGCTCACCATCAGCGGCCATAGAGCGTGGCTCTGAACATACCTCAAGTCCAAGAGCAAGATCCGGAGCAGCCTTGGCCACACGCACACACAAACTCTCTGTGTGGATACTCTGCGGAATGTGAAGAGCCAAAGATGTATGTACAAACATACGTATGTATGTGTATGTATGATCTGAGTTCAATGGTCAATAGTCGGTGGTAGGTGGGAAGTCGGCGGCAGCACCTTCAAACTCTCGCGTTTGATGCGAATTCCGCCTGGGGTCAGTGACTAATAGACATATGTATGTACATATTTTTGTATGACATAATGTCTGGCCATTATCTGCAGCTCAAGACTGCCCACAAGCAATAAAATAGCCACCAAATTGTTCCATCAAGTGTTACGTATTCCGCTTAGTCGTGAAACACACAAATTAAAACCCGCTGACAATACCTGGCCGCAGCATCCTCTATAAAAATTGGGGATTGTGAACCCCTGTAGGACGTGATCAGCGTCTAATTTTGAAAATGTCTCTCAACATACTATTCGGATCGTATCCACGGATCCACCACCTTTTCCAATTCATTCCATCACATGCGAATGCCATAAAACACTCTGGAATGGAATTCTGTTCCATGCATACTCAGCCAATTGCTTGAATTTGTTTTGTGTTATTTTTGTAATTTGCGAATATTATTCCACCCTCAATCGAGCCCCCAAGCCTTGAAGGAGAGAACCGAATACTGAGAGTCCAAAGAATACGGACATCACTTTCGTTTGGAGCTTAAACAAAACGTTGTAATTTACATAAATAAATATTTGTATTGGTTTATGCCTGATTCTCGGGTAAATATTAGACGACATCCAAAAACTTAAACCGGAATTAAATTCCTTACGTGTCTGATGTGATCTCTATCTATGTTCATCCATAGAAACGTAGATTTGATATCTGTGCACGTTTCCCCCCCTCTCTCTCTTGTTGTTAGGAATCAGCGAAAGAAACGAAACAGTAAAGCGAAACAGGTGATACGCTGCCATGCGATGGGATCTGCTAAACTCGGACTAAATCATTCCCATTTGTACTCAAGCTCAAGCCTTTTCTCTTCTCGCAGCCGCTGATCCCAGCCCAACCCTGATCCTGTCCGAACAGACAGAGACAGTGACATCATTGCAAGCATCCAAAGCATCCACAGGATACAGAATGACAGCCATGCCCGTGGTGTGGTGCACCGATCCCAATTCGGTGAACAACAAGCCCACAGCCTTCGCCCTGCACGGCATCCAGCTGCAGGGGAACGTGACGGAGAAACAAGTCCACGCCCTGCGGGAGCTGGTGAACGCCGCCGCCGAAGGGCGCCTCATCCTGCCCTCGGACGGAACATTTACGCTTCTCGACAGCGGCCTGAGCATCGAGAGCTCAATAGTGGCCGGGGGACTGAAGCAAGAGGGTGCAAGAGAGCCCAGTCCCAGCGAGTCCCCAGAATCGCATCCCCTCAAGAACGCAAAGAACACGTACATCCTGATGCCCGTGAGCAAGATATTGCCGACATCGATGTCGACCCAGACGGCAGGTTCGATGGGGGCCGGAGCGGGACAGCCCGAGGCCATTGCTGCTGCGGCAGCCCAGCTGGAATTCCTGCTGGAGCCCAAGTATTCTCCCTCGCCGCCCGCCTCCTCTGATTCCGTGGCCGTGGAGGCGTCGGGTGGTATTGCAGGGGTCAGTGGAGAGATTCTGTACGAGTTCCTCTGCTGCGCCAAGTGCATGAACGAGCAGCGGGCGGGGCAGAGTGGCACCTGCAACGAACGCCGTCTGCAGCGGTATCTGCGGAGCTGCCAAGGTAACAACAGCGACTACGAGCCGGTCAATGACCCTTCCGGGACGTGGCAGCTGCAGCTGGATCCTGTCTGCAGCATTGCCAGCAGATACGCTCGCCGTCAGCACCGTCTGCACCACCAGCAGCGGCACAGGTCGCATGGGACCGTCACGACGGGGATAGCACGTAATCGGCCCAATCGCCACCACAAATTACCAATTCACAGTGTTAAAATCTTTCATAATCGCAGCAGTTGCACGCCAGCCACAGCCACAGGCCCAGCCCCATCCCCATCCCCTCTGGGGGGAGCATGCATTGTGGGCGGGGGCCAATCGGTGTCGCCAACTGCGATGCCCAGCCACAGTCACAATCGCAGTCGCTGTCCCAGCCATAGTTCCAAGCCAGCGACTAGAGCGTGCGACGGCAATGAGGCGTTTAGTTTGTCACCGACAGCGGCGCGATCTACATCGCTGACAGCCTCAGCGGCAGTACCAGTCACATTGCCCCTCTACGCGGTGGTTAACAAAACTCGCGAATTGTCGAGAGTCGTCTCCGAGAAGGCGGGGGAAATGCCCACTGTGCTGGACGTTGTGCCCGAGGAGGCTCCGCAGGTCGGCCCCTCTGCGGTTGTGCGCGATCTAATCAGCTTTGATGACGATCAGGAGCAGGCGGTGGCAGGAGGAGGCAGGCAGACAGACTGTGATGGCCACAATGTGGACCTGCTGTGTGCCCCAAACGAGGAGGATATCCTTCTCGCACTGCTAGTGACGCCACCGCCCACGCCACCCAAGCCGGGCTCGCCCGTCAGCCACAGCTCGAGCCGCAAGACCAGCTTCGACTCGACCAGCACCATTAGCTCCATGGACTCGGGATTCATGGAGATGCAGAACAAGTTGGACGCCCTGGCAGCAGCAGCAGCGGCAGCCGGAACATCTGCCACGCCGACAACATCATCGAGTGGCGAGAAGATTGCTCGCCGCAACTACAAGGAATGCCTGACGCAGTCGCGGAATCGTCGCAAATCCTACGAGGAGTTTAAAGCCATGTTTGTTGAACCGGCGGCAACGACGGCTTCGGAAGCAGCAGCCACTGTCAATTTGCCTCTGTCCATGCCCCAAGCATCATCGATTGTTGCGGCAGATGACGCAACAGCCGACAGCAGCAACACTGTGATCCCAACAACAACAACAACAACGCTTGCCTCCATTTCAGAACAAGAAACCACAAGCGAGAGAGTCAAACCGGATTGTGCAAACGAGTTTGCCACCAGCGACGCTGTCCCAGGCCCAGACCCAGGCCCCAGATCCCCCATGGCCCCCGATGAAATGGATACCGGGGATGGCGAATGTGAGGGCGATACCAATGGGTGTCTAACAGCAGCAGAAACCACAGCAGCAACAACAGCAACAGCAAAAGCGGCGACAGTCAACAGCAGCACCACAGAGGCAATGCGAAAGAATTCGGATTTTCTATCGCAGATTCTCGATCATCAGTTTGCGGCCAAGGAGCGGGCCAAGGCGCACAAGCGGCGCACATCGTATGAGGAATTCAAGCGAATGGTTAACGAAGTCGAGAGTCTGGAATGTCTGGACACTGTTGCAGTGGTCGCCACTGCCGCTGCCGCCAGAACCACACCCACACACACATGCCCAGCCCCAGCCCCAACACCAACGGCAGGCCGAGCAGCAACAACAACTACCACGTCTCCGCTCAAGAGACAGAACTCGCGGCAGCGGAAGAGCTTCGCCAGCTACTTTCTGCCCCGCCGAAACTCGACCAAAGAGCCGAAGATTGGGGACAAGGAGAACAGCGGCGGGGAGATGAATGTGCCACCAGTGCGAGAGGCCAAGGGCAAGGGCAAGCAGCTGCAGACTTACGCTGCCAAGCTGCCCGCCAACTCCAGCTCCAACTGTGACTCCAACTACAGGCGGAACTTCAAGATATACGACAAGCTGGTCTACGGCACCATATACGACATCATCCAGCGGAAAAACGACATCTACCAGCTGACGTACCAGAAGTACGACAAGTACATGACCTACGGCACCATCTACGAGATACTTCACCGCAAGTCCTCGCAGGATGGCGGCTGCTTCCTCGGCGGCGTTGGCGACAGCAGCAGTAGCAGCAACAGCGACAGGTGGCAGCGCAAGAGCCTCAGCTCCATCCTGGAGAGCAAGTCGGGCGACGTCATCTACGACATCATCCAGAAGAGGGAGCGCGAGAAGCAGCGCCAGCAGAAAGCCCTGGACTCCGCCTCGGCCTCCGCCACTGTCCAGTCCGCCCTCAGTGTGCACAAGTATGGAACCATCTACGACATTCTGCAGGGAGAGAAGCTGGATGCTGGCGATGCGGTGGATAGCAGCAAGCGACCAGTTGCCGGCAAGCCAACGCGCTTCGTGGTCAGCCATGTGGAGGAGCATCCCCATGAGAAGCAGCCAGAGCCGGCCAAGAGCCAAGAGGCTCCTGCCTGCACAGAGAGTGCCAATCTGCCCGTGGAAACAGGGAAGGTGGCGCCGGCCAGCAAGCCAAAAAAGATGCGGCGTCTATCGAACATCCTAAGCTACAGCAGGTCTCCAGCTGCAGGCAGCGGTGGGCATGAGGAGCCAGATGGCCACGAGGAGTCCAAGTTGAAGCGCAGCCAGGCCAAGCGGAGGATCGGGGTGACGAATCTGCTCCTGCCCCTGGACTCCGAGGAGCTTTACACGCGCATCATTGCCCAGCAGAGGCGTGATTACAGAGCCCACATGCAGAGTGACAGCGATGCGGAGCCCAAAACGGCCAGCTCCCTGATAAAGTCCAGCTCCCTGGACGCCATCTCCATGTCGGTGGCCTGCTCCCCACCTGCCACCGCCCAGCACACGCCATCGCCGTCGCCGCCCCGTCCCCGCCGCAGCCTCAAGCAGCACCGATGCCTGCAGCGCGGACAGGAGCAGCAGCGCCAAAGGCACCAGCTGGCACTGGTAAAGAAGCACTCCCTAGACAACTGCCTTCAGGCAGCAGCAGGAGCAGGAGCGGGAGCGGAAGCGCACACACACCAGAAGCAGCCAATGCGCCGTTGGTCCAACCAGAGTCCTCTACGGTGCACCTGCCTTGCCCTTGAAGAGGATCTACCTAGCCACCAGTGCACTTGCCCGCATCCGCTGACTGCCATTGAGAAGTCGCGATCGCTACCCGTCGCCGTAGGCGGTGCCTGTGTCTGTGCCTGTGCCTGTTCCTCCTCCTCTGTCCACCACTCCTCCCCGCATACGTGTGCAAACTTAAATTGCGATCAAATCCCACAAGCAACGACAAAATCATCAACGACGACGACGACGACGACGACGGCCAAGAAAGGCAAATCGCGTCGACTTTCGGAATTTACGCGCGGTGAATTTTTAAATGAAAAATCGTAAGTTTAGCCTCCCAGACACCCAACCACACTCCCCTGTCGCCCTGCCCACTAAACACCATCGAATGCACGAATCTACGTATTAGATATACCACATAAACACACATACTACATATGCATACATGCCTATGGTTATCCATTCATTTATTTGTGATTAGAGGCGCTGCCCGAATTATCATTTTGGGGAATTTTCAATGTGGTATTTTGTGCGGGAATTCATTTCATTCATCGATCTTTGGACCAGTTGGACCATTTGGACCATTGTCTGAGGAGAGAAAGACTTGTGAGTCGATTCCACTTCCAGTCGCATGTTTAACAACAATTAAACATATTACAGACTTTGGTCCGTCTGGACGGGCATTGTTTTGTGGTGGGGAGATGATGGTATCCAAAAATGTTTCCACTGCAGCTGAAGCTCTCAAAAAAATATTCAGCTTCAAGGCCAAACCGCCTTCAAATTGGTTCAGACGTTGAAATTTGCATATCAATGCGAACACAGAAATATGCGCATACAACATCTATGTACATACATATGTATGTATGTACTGTACATAAACTCTGTACACTCGCACCTTTGTACAGCCCATACACGTGCTGGCCAAGAGTCGAGAAGAGGCCGAAAGTAAATGGTCAAAAACACTCTTACTCCCCCCGAAATGTACTGTACAGAAACGGTGGAAGGCAACCCACATCCAAAAACTTAAACATTAAAAAATGTGTCAAACAGTGTTTGTTTATCGTTTAATTAACGAAAATTGATCAAACAAAAACCAATAAAAGAAGGAAGAAACAACAGACGCACCGGACTGCGTGTCGGAAAAATAGTCACGACTCTCCACCATCGTTCATCGTCCGTGCGTACTGATCCATTAATGAACTTCTTCGGACAGCAAATGAGCGGTAAAACGGTAAATGCCATAGACCGTAACACGAGCAAGACAGAGACAACACCACCCACCACCTACTCATTTGTGTGTGCGCGTTTATTTGATAGTCAAATATTTTGCAGGTTAATAACGTTGGGACGTGCCTGAGCGCCTTCTCCTCTCTCTCTCTCTCTCTCTCTCTCTCTTCCTCTCTTTCCCTATTATTTTATTCTCTTTCCATCCGATTACACACTCGAAGCAGAAAGACCAAACGATAGTCAAAAAACAGAAATTAAAAACAGTTGAAGTGAGGTGGAGGCAGAAGTAGAAGCTCAGATTGTCAACTCTCCATCTATCCCTCGGGTTCTTTTCTTTCTTCACCTACAAAAGAGATAGTTTAGTTTATATTGTTTCATTACTCATTTACTTTGCTCGAGCACCTTGATATTGTCAATTACTCATCTCTGCTGTAGGGTTTCCCCAGAGCAAAACACAGCCTCGGCTGTGGGAAAAACTGTTTACTCTGGTCGAGGGGTGCGAGATTTAACGACAAATAGATCGATCGATGTAATTGCAAGGAATTCTCCTCTTCTCCCTGATGCTTAAGATTTTGAATAAGTCTAAACAGAAACTGAGTAAAGACGAGTAGGAACGTGTGAGATGCTTAGTTTGCGTCACAATTTGTATACCCGGTACTCAGTCATTCATATGAATGGACATGTGTACATACATATGCTTGTAACCCTATGTTTTTGCTCCAAGAGTATTTGAGCAGATCGTTTCTCTATTATGGGTCCACATGCTTCGTATAATTTTGCTGCTCCTCTTGGTTCCACTATCGAGCCCTTGCTTTTTTGTTTCTCCGGTCCCATCCTCCCGTTGCCAATGACAGTAATTTGCGTGCCTTTGTTCCTTCTTTAATGATATGGTAGTATGTACGCCAGAACATAGAGTTATCAGTTGGCTTGCACTGCCCCCACAAATTAAAAAGTCATTTACAGTGCAACGGAGCGGTGCTTGGCGTGCCAGAATGCATTTTCGTTTTGACGACAGTTTTCCAGCCAAACGTAAAAAAAGCCATACAACACAATATAAAATACTAATGACACCCACATGGTACATACATATGTATGTACATTTATCCATGCGTGTGTATGGGTCTATAGCTTTGAGGAGCGAGAATTCTGTTGACTGAACCGACCCACGGCAACAGAAAATCGCCAGGGTGCGGTTAGGAGCATTGTTTGCGCCCCCGATTAGCATTCATTTTCATGTGTCTGCTCTAAGTCCCAGAATCAGAACCAGCCCCAGCACCCCACCCGTCCCCCTGCTGTACCAGAGTCGACCAATAGCCGTTCGTTCGTCGTTCCTTGGCTTATATAAGCAGAATGCGAGCACATTGCAAATGCAATGATGAATTGCACAAGCAAAGGCAAAAGGCAAAGAAGCGACAGCTTGTCGAAAATTAAGTATTCGTAGTAGATATAAAACTCTGGAAAATAAGCTTTTCGAGTCCCCCCAAGCGGAACTTTCATATGGCCCTGCCCAAAACTGTGACTCTCCCCCCGCAGTCCTCAGAACCAACCGCCGAATCATGTCAACCTGTACGGCATATGGATAATGGATGTGACATTGAATTGTTTTTGAATTATTTATTAATCAATGCAATGCTGATTTGAATCAATTTCCCCAACGAAATTGTCTCGACAATATGCCACAAGTATTTCCCCCAATTGCAGTAGCGTGCTGGACGAAACACTTACGAATAGATCATCAGATGGCATGGGACTCAGATACATACATACTAGTTTTCGGTTAAGTGGACTTTTCGTTAGGTATAGACACAAGTACCTGAGAAAGTAGCCGGAACTTGATAATTTCTTTGGTCCGATGGCTTTTCTATTTGCGCGTTTTCACTGCTCTTTCTGCGCCTCTTGATGATGTGGCTGGTAAAAAGAATGGCCAGATCTAGAGCCAGAGCCAGGCCTACGAGTAGCATTAACAAATTATTTCTCCATAACAACTAAATCTATTGCCCCACGGCCAGATGAGAGACCAGTCCTGTCCATATTTATTTTTAGATGCTTCACGGAACTGGTTCCCAGCTGCACGTTGCACGGTGCACAGGCTGCATTGATTTGGAATTCGTTTCAACGGAGTCCGAGTGTGGCAAGTGTTTCTTCTCGTTTCATTTGCTGGCGGGCATCCTGTCCAGTGCTGCTGGCGAATGAAATATACATGAAATACTCCACTCGAGCAAGCAGGCACATTGTTATTATTCCATCTCTCCATCTATGCAGCCCCATCGCCATCTCTCTGTGAGGCTGCTTATTTAACCGACATAGCCAAAGCCTGCAGCCTGCAGCCTGCAGCCTCCGGATCTGGCTCTGTCTATGTAGTTGCATTGGAAATTCAATTCGCTTCAATTGGCGCCATTCAGCAATTATGTGTGACTTGGAGGCATGGCTGGTTCCTGGCTTAGCTTGCTTCGGTTTTATAAATAGACACACACACACGCCCCATGGCATACCATGTTATATGTGGTCCACAACTGTCAATTGCTCAGTGCGTGTCCAAGACCTATGATTGGATTTTTCTCTACTCTGAAAGAGCAGGAAACAAAGTGCAATTTGAGCCATATATGGATGCGCATACAAAGATATCGAATGAGATTCTTTTGTCACTCCACAGCAATCCCCAGAAAGCAATCGATGGCGTTGTATCCATGGGGATAGTCAGGTTAATATGTGTGGGATGTGATGTGGTTTTTATCCCTATCCAATGTTTGCACAATTCGCAATGCAGTTGTATCCATCGGGTATTCAGAAGGTTTCCTTCCACATGAATCAGGTGCGTACTCTGTCCCAAACGATCCAATACGATCAGATCAACAAATTTCCAGCTTTGAGTAAATACATTTGCTTGCATTTTGCATTGCTAATTGCATTGGTAGCGCGTCAAATGTTATTCCAGATTCTTTCCGGATGAATACCAAGCTCAATAGATACATATTTATATATGTTATTGCAGTTCTCAAGTGAATATTATTACAAGGGAAATAGTACAGCAGCAGTACGGAAAACCAGTATCGCCGATGCGTCGTCTAATTAGATATTGAGAAAAATAAATGTATGTGGCATGCGGCGGATATGTTGGGGCAACATCATCCACAGCAGTACAGCAGCCAATTATAGAGAAAGTGACAGTGCAGTGGCAGTGGCACCCGAGTTGCACCTGAGCTGCATGCCTCTGGCACCGGCTCCATGTTTGTGTCATGTCCCAAAACGGGCAGCAAAAAATGTTACTCCAATTAATATGCCGCAGAAAGCGGTGAGTGCAGAGAGGGGAAAAGTGGCATGCAAAGCAGGAATTGACCTCCCGTCGTATCTATTATCACGACGAAATTGCTCAGCTCTGTTCGCAGAAGTAGCCAATGGCTAATTATTAGTTTTAAAATTGATTAGCAGCAGCTTGTTTGCAGAAACAGCTCGAAAAAATAAAAATTAACAAATTATTTTTATCACGCTGCTCCGGGCCAGCACTCACACTGGTGTCTGCGTCTCGGATTCATTCGTGACGTGCTGCCAGCTGAGTCACACAATCCCACGATATCCGTGGACACACAAAAAATGCTTAACACTCATCTCATGACCTGACCTGCTTCAATTAGTCCGCAGTTGCACCGACCAATTGCCTGGTTGGCACGCTTACAACTTTGACCCATTTCAAGGGAACAGAATATAGCCTGAACAGAACCAGGCACCGTTGCTTGGAACCATTTCAGCTGCCAAAGCTAGTTGGTTTGTGTCTGGCACAATTTACTGCCTCCTTGCCTTAAATAGAATTGGACACGTTGAAAACGGGCCAATGCTCCAACGATCCAACGGACAAGTGTCAATCAAGTGGTCAAGTCCAGCCAAGTCCAGTTGCTAAAGTGCTTGACAATGGCGGAGCTAGATAAATTGGAGCAGCCACTAGAAGTTGAGGTCCGCCTCGCTAGATAGATCGATCGATTCGCCATTTAATCTAATTTTAACTCAAAAGCGCATGTCCAAAGTGCCAGCCAAACAAGCCAAACATGTTAGTCTGTCGGTCCACTGGCTGCCACCAGCCATGGCCAAAAGAAACGGCGATCAAAACCATGTTGGACGTAGAAAAATTTTAGAAAAAACTAAAATCGCCAACGAGTTGCATGTAGCAGGGGATATTTTTAGACAAAATCGAATTACGTTGCGCTGGCTTGTTTAAAAATAGTATCGGAGACTGCTGCACGGACAGCCAAAGGAGGCTGCGCTTGCGCTTTGGTTGGTCGTTTGATTTTGGCTTTGAACACGTTGGGGCCGGGCCAACCAGGCCTTGTTTGGTTCGGATCGGAGCAGAACTCTGTCTCTCTGTCCGTCTATAAATAAAAGCGTGTTCTAGACCAAATCTCTATGCAAGAGAATGTGCCATGTTTCATTGGAATTTACTTCAGCAGACATTACATCCTTCTGGCCTGCAGAGCTTTTCCTTTCCGGCTGCCAAGGGTAGGCAGTGACCGGTATTCGTAGAGCATTAGCCAGCCTCGCCTAACACAACGGGCAGGATGCCATGCCACGACAGTAGTTGTTGTCGTTTCTTGTGTGTAATTAAATCGTGTTGCATATTTATGAAAGTCATGCATGCACCATAAGTGGCAGGCCAGTCCCAGGATGGCAGTGTCTATAAATACACTCTTCCATTCCAAGGAAAAGCGGGCCCAGAGCCAGGCCCCAACCAGTCCCCCCCCCC